AGAGATAAGGAGGATGGAGGAAAGGGATCAGGGGATGGACAAGGGGAGGGCAAGGCAGGCACTGGGGAGTCAAAGTTATTAAAGTATGCTATGCACACGTGCCAATATGTCACAATGAGCCCACTATTCAGTACAATTACCAGGCACCCAAAAAAAGTATGTAGTGGACCTGAGACTTTTAAATGGTAAGTGCACTGAATACTGCTCTTTCATAGAGGTCTTAAACACTGTGCGTGTATGGGATATTGGGAGCCTGGACCTAAGTGGCCTCAGCCTGTAAATACCTTTGTGGTCACATTACCGTTTCCTAGTCAAAGGGGATCTCATAAAAGCAATTCCGAGCATGTGCTTACTTCCCCGCTGTGTGTCTGTGCGTTTCTCAGTCTGTGTGTCTGCAGGTCGAGAGTAAACAGCTCTTTCACCTTTCATGGCCAGATGTGATGCTTTTCAATAACGGCAAAGTCCTTTGGGAAAACAGGACTAAATTATGACCTAAAAACTAGTCAAGGTGAAATTTCTAAATATCAATCCAAACAGGATCTCACCAGAAATTCCCTAGAGTACAACTAGAAGATGAGCATGCAGGAGGTGTGTGGGGGGTAGGTGGAGGAGGTACAGGAGCAGGGAGGAAGCCGGTGGGGTTGGAGCACGAGGACAAAATAACTAAGGTACGGGCTCTGGCAAGAGTGGACAATGGGCCCCAAGTGGCCATCACCCTAATTCTTCATAAGAGAAGTAGCTCTTGAGGCCAATCATTCTGGACCCTTTGATTTGTGAAAGGGTTTATGCAAGGGTAACCCCTCCCAGTCAGAGAATGGCACCAAAGGTGACATCATCCATCAGGCATTCACAAACTACAGGCAGGCAAAAAAAGTCTACCTAATGAAAAATTCATGTGCTTGGACTTCTTGTGGTCATAAAAAGGCTCCATATAGGGGCTGGGGCTGTAGCTCTGGTTGAGCGCTTGCTTAGCATGCGTGAGGCACTGGGTTCAATCCTCAGCACTATATAAAAATAAATGAATAAAATAAAAGTATTGTGCTCATCTGTAACTTAAAATAAAAGGGTCCACATACATAAAGGGAGCCTGTCAATGTTCCCTCATTTCTCCCAGAAGGGTTGAAACTGTACTTTATCCCACCACTGTCCTATGTGGTCTTTGACAAGGGCACCCGAGCATTCTGTGACACTGGACCCCATGAGTTATATTTCTCCCAGCAGAAGGGTTGTCACAACTGGACCTCAGGACCCCAGGTGGGATGCAGTACAAAGAAAACACCAGGATAGCCGTCTCTCCTTCAGCTCTCCACTCACACCCTGGGCAGAGCTGGGCACACCCTGCATTCCCCAGGCAGGAGGCTGGGCAGTGCGGTCATGCAGCCTCAGGACCAGGCTCCTCCCAGATGTGAGCGGGGAGGGCTCCGGCGGGCTGCAGGGGTATTCCTGCCCAACCCGCTGCCCCTCCACTCCTGCTCTCTTCCTGGAGCTCATGCTGCCTTCTCACCTCCATGTGGAAACTGTCTTGTCGTCTAGCGCCTCCAGCTGGCAGGCGTAGATAATGGCATCTCCTGTATCAGAACAGCTCCACTCAGGACTGGAGGTGACTCTAGAGTCCACAGAGCCACAGCAGACCATGCTCTCTGGTGTCCATGAGAACTGTTGACCAAGCCCTTGTAGGCACACATCCAGACCAGTGCCATCGGACTGCCCGATGCCTTTCCCCACTTCAATCTGTCCTCCAAGTCACTGCCTGATGGGTCTCCCCAAGACACAATGCAGAAAACTAGATTGCTTTCTACTTTGAATGTGGAATACAAGTTGAAACTTCTATCCAAGCCCAGCATTCAAAACTGCTA